TATTTTTGAAAACTATTTAACAGAACTTAAAGTTTTGTTTAATAACAAATCTGTTTTAATTATTATAGGTGAAATTATTAATAATTATAATAGAAAAGTTATAAATATCTTATTTATATTTTAATCAAAAACAAAACTTGTTTCAATAGATTTTTTGGTTAATGTTAATAATATTATAATTGATCAACTTCTTGTTACTATTTTGACAAAATTTAATATTTCTTATAATTTACTCTATTTTTTTATCTGATTCTGCTTTTTATATAAAAAAATATTATTATGATATCTTAAGCCTTTAATATCATAATTATTTTATAATCTATATTATGCATATATTATAAGCTTAATTGGATATGTATATACTATATTATATTATATTTGAAATATTTAATTATTTACTAACTGGCATAATTTAAATTAGAGAACATGGCTTAATTTTTCATATTTTTCCAATGTGAAAAAGTTATTATATGATATCAAAGTAATATTTATTACAAGTTCAGCTTATCAAAGTTAATATTTAACTTTTTTAAAAAATCATGGAATTTTATTATCATGAAAAATTCCTCTTCCAGTTATTATTTATTGAAATACTTGATTTGAAATAATTTTTTATACTTTGAAATATCTTTTTTTATTTCATGATTTTTTCAAAAAAGAATTTGAAAATAATTCTACAAATAGTATAATTATTGAAAAAGTTTTAACTACTCTTAATAATTCTAATGAATTTAGTTTGATTCATACTTATCTTCATTTTATTTCAATTTATATTTATGAATTTATTCAAGATTTGAATTTTTTTCAAATCCAAAACAAATCTTTTTTTTCTTTTATTTATGCTCGTTTAGAGTAATTATTAGCTTATTTTTAATAAAATTGAAATTCTGAATCTTTTTTTTCAGAATTAAATGCTATTATTCGCAAATATAATAGAGATCCATTAAATTTTTATCCTATATTTCATAAAGTATTTGAAATTTCTTTTAAAAAATTTAATTTTCATATTCCTATACATTCTTCATATTTTTTATTCAAAGCATGTCAAGTGTTTGATCCTATTTATACTTGCTTAAATACAATTGAAAGAAGAAATATTTAGCAATATTCTATTATTTGAGAATTAACTGAATCTTCAGAAGATTTACTTCGTGAAAGAAGTATTTATTGTGAATGAGATAAAAGTGAATTATTGGAAAATTTGAATTTAGATCAATTTTGATAAGGTAATATTAATCATTTTCTCTTATTATCTAATATAGCTTTGAATTATATTTGGTTACCTATTTCTAGTTGCAGTGTAGAATATAGTTTTTCAAATTATAATAATATTTTATTTAATAACAGACAAAATCTTCCTGAAAATTCATTTAAATCATTAAATATATTATATTTTAATAAATAAAAAATTGCAGAATTCAGAGTATTATTGTAGAATTATAAATTTTTAATATTGCAGAATTTTTGCAGAAACTACAGACGGAATTTGCTTTTAGTCACCGCAGAAAATCATCGTCCCTATTAATGGATAATTTCACGTGATAAATGGCATCCCCATACTAATTTTTTTCTCGCTATTTACCACGTGCATTAAATTCACGTGTTTATCATCTCGTGAACAAAACCTTTGGATTACTTGAAATTGCTCTTCTACAAGCCTTGCCTCTAATGTTTTTCCTACCTCTGCAACCCTATCTTCCTTTCTTACATCACCTGCAATATTATCTCCCTTTTCCACATCAACTCCTGATAATAAACGCGTCCTTCTCTTCAATGTCGCTCAACCAATTGAACTTTCAATGCTAGAATTCGACAATGAATGGTGGTCTTTGGTGTCAAATGTGTGGATTAATTATAATTCGAAACATCACATTAACGGTGATTCATGGAAAGTTTTCACTTGCCGATTAATAAACACAAAAAATCAAACACGCGTAGAGAGGACGTTACAAGTGATAAACGTCGGAAAACGGGTTCGGCCAGCAAATTTATGTTCTGCCAAAATAAAAATATACCGGTTCGTTGCGGAACAAAAGGTAAGAATTGAATGATATCAGGAGAATCCCAAACACACTCATACGTTAGAGGAAAGCGAGAGAACTCAAACGATCACAAGTCGTTCGAAATCTGGTAGAACAGGAAGCGATAAAAAATTATCCATCACCGGCAATTGTCGGGGCAGTTAAGGAATACGCATCAAATGAATTAAATCTTGCTCAAGCGTTAAAGAGTTAAGGCGAAGAGAGGTAATTAACATCAAGTACAAAATTCACCGATCCCACAATACCAATCTTCTTGGTAATGTCGAGCTAGAAGCAGATATCAATGATGCAGTTTCCTTTTTAAAAAAACAAAAATATCATGTCGAACGCTACGAAATTCCTCGACGATCCTTCCAAGGTTTTATTTTCGTGCATCCCGAACAGGCCAAAAAACTACAGCGTTTTGGTCGGTTGACTCTTATCGATTCTACCCACAAAACCAATAAACGCGACTGGCGTCTGTTCACACTATATATTCGCGACAGTTAATATAGGATCGCACTTCTTCATAAGTAACGAGGATAGCGATACGGTGGCAGAAGCATTAATCATAATTCGACAATTTGTACAAGGCTGGAAACCACGATATTTTCTCGCCGATCAAAGCAATGTCGAAGCAAATAGCATCGCAATCGTGTTTCCGGGTCCTCAAAACAACGAGCAAGAATGTGACGTTATCTTCTGTACTGTGCACGTCATGAGAACTTGGATGAGTAAAATCTACGATACAAAAACCCGCACAGAACATCGAAGATTAGTTGTGATGATATTATCAAAGAAGCGATTCATCAGTGCCCGGTCTCCTCCATTCAACAATACATCATAAGATATTACACGCATAATACACATCAGTGGGCTCTCTGGGCTCGACAGCATTCTTCCATCCTTTGCAAGTGACTTCGACAAATGCTTTGGAGTCATACCATAGTGAATTAAAGTTGATATCATCTCCTCGGCACGGTTTAATCGGTATGATTAGAGTTTCTAACGCTTCGTTTGTTATTCATTATGATTATTCCGTTTTGCGGTCGTGTTCATTACCCGATCGTGTCTCGTTGCGCAGTTGTGTATCGTTACACTATCGTGTTTCGTTACGCGGTTGTGTTTCGCTACACGGTCGTGTTTCGTCACCCGATCGTGTTTTGTTGCGCGATCGTGTCTCGTTACGCGGTCGTGTTACCAACTTCTTGCTTTCGTTAATTTTTGCTAACGATTATTTTTTTCAGGTGCGTGCGATCGAGTTGTTAAACTCGATGTGAAAAAGCGATCAGACGCCGAATATGCTGCATTCGAGTTCCGTACTAAAAAAGTTTCGGTTATTGGTGAATCCTCGAAGAAGTTCATAAGTTTCCGTTTCCAATACAACAAAAAATTATTGGTGAAGTTTACGCTGTAGAAAAAAGAATGGAAAAAGGTAAAGTCGCACCTGGGTTGATATCGCCTAATTGTCATTGCCTATTCTTTCGCGAGCACATGTACGACACCAGGAAATTTTTAACCATTAATGCCTGGCGTCAATTTCGGCAAATTTTAGAGAGAGCGGATTCGAAATTTACGAGCATCATGATGAACTTTTAAGGGCGCAGACATCGGAGAAACCTGAAAGAGCAGCAGAGGGTCGACGACGAACTGTAAATGAGTTAATGGAGAGAACGCGTGATTTTATTGGAGGATTGAAGAGAGGGGAGACATTGAACAAACGATATCATTTATTGAAAATTTAAGAACAAATTTAGTCTCTTAATTTGAACAATGTTTTTTTAACAATTAATTTTTATTTTACGCTTCTATAATTTTTATTTATAATCGAAAGTGTATAGGGCATACTTTATTGTAAAAGTTTTTAGGTCAATTAGCAATAATTTTATTTCTAAATTTATAATTCCCTTCGACGAAGACTACTTGCACGGCTTTAACGCAACGAATCACTTTGTATGAGTGATCCAACTCGTCTCTTCATTTCACATAACCGCGTAATTATTATTGTCTAACTTCCGCCCAATTCACTGATCTGGGTCTTCGTTTATTTTGTTCATTTTTTGTAAAAATGAACATTATCGCCTATGAACCACCCATCATACGATCATAATATCAAATTTAGCGTGCCGTATATGTAGTTAGAATACTTTTTTTAAAAAAAAATTACCTTTAATTTTGTAGCCCGAAGTATTTTAAGAAGCAAACATCGAAACGAAAATAGTGCAGACTTGTTAGCGAGCGTAGAATGGTGAATAGCGTAGTGGATGATTAGCGAGTAGTAAGAAATGAAGGAGGGGGGGAGGTAGAATTTACTATAGTGAATAAAATAACAAGGAAGTAGGAAAGTTTATTTTTGTTCAGCGCAATGGCAAAATCACACACTCTCACGCACACACACACACACAGAGCGAAGCTCTTGTTGACAATTGACAATGTGGTAACGGTAAATGTATGATTATCATTCCCTGGAGAATCGATTCCGAAGTGTACATCAGCCACTCAGATCACATGATGGACTACGCTTTAACCGCTCCCCATATTAGGAAATTTGAAATTTGGTTCGAGAAAAGTGGTCGCTTAGCCTACTCCACATTGCAATAAAAACAACCAGTGTAATTTTCACAAGTGATAGAGACATGTATATCGAATACACGTAATGATAAAATTCCTTTTGTTTATTGGAAGTATTAAAATTAGAATGTCCCAAATAATTTTCGTTTGCGTTTTTTCGTAAATGAAATAGTTAATATGACAAGTCTATGTAAAAGCAGCCTTGTATTTAACATATCTATAAATATATAACACTCACAAAAGCCCCATTAGATTCCAAAACAACAAACACATAAATTATGGCAAATTTTTTCCTCCACCCAATAAATAATCCCCCATAACGATCTATTTGATGATAGTGGTACGTATGTGCGAGTATTTGAAACATGATACAGTTAAGTGTTTGCCGCTGTTTCGTCTTGGACGATCTTAGACGGCAGCAACAATCTGTTAGTATATATCATTAACCACATGAAAATTGATCAATATCTTGCAACATTATCGAGCTGACCAAACAATTTTGCCTATTCGTATATCAACATACCTCGTCAGCTTTTTGCAAAGCCTCAATCATTTTCTTGACTTCTTTCCGTCTCTGTTGAGTGAACTCACTCTCCTTGAGCAATTCATCCAAAACGTCTACTTTGTACAGTTCCTGAAGCAATTCTCGTTGTAGTTCTTCTTTAGCGTATGCGACCAGATGCAGCATAATCGCTTTAGGAACCGTGTCCACAATAGTACGTTTCACAATATTGAAGTATGATTGAATAAGAAGTTCTAACGATGATTTGGTGGTAGTAAAGACCGTGTCAGTCCCGTATAATACCAAATAAGAAATTAAAATACTCGACTTACTTATTACTTCCGTCTCCATATATTCACGTTCTGAAAGATTTCCCGAGGCTTTTAATACCGGAGGTGGCTGCTCAAAAATATAAATTTTGAAAATAGAATGAGCGCAACACAAAAAGAAATAACGAATTTATACTTAAATACCGGTTCCATTAGGCCAGCCTTCTTTTTCTTGTTTGAAGCAAAGAAACTTCCAAAGAAGCCAGTATTTTGCGATTCAGTTTCGAAGTTGAGAGGATTGCTCGTCAAATTTGCAATACTTCCTCTATTTTTGTTATCGGTTGAATTTGCAGGTTTCGGAGGATTGAGTTTGTCATTGACCACAGCCATTGCTTTATGACCATTGAGGAAATCAGGATGACCCGTATTAATATAACAAGCTTCCATTCTATTAATTAAAGAAATCAAAGATGTTGTACATTAACACAACAATGTTGATGTTTGAATCATAAGATTCCAGCTTATTAGCTAATACATACGCAACAAGATCGGAGACAAGTTTATTTGTAGGATTCGTTGCTTTTTTGAAGAAATTAATTACAACCGTGTAGAATTTCTCTTTTAAACCGGGGAAACGTTTGAATAGCTACAATAAATCAGACAATTATATTATTGACGATAATTCTAACAGATATAATATTCTCATATAGTTACAACTTGCCTGTTTCTGCAATAGTTGATTTAGAATTCGAACTAATTCTTCATATACAAGCGTAACACATTTTAGACTTGGCTCCTCAAGTCGTTTAATTTGTTGTTTAATGATCACTTCAAAAGCTGTTGTGCCAACGAACAAAGCTGGGGATGAACCGGAAGAGTTATAAAGAATAGTTCTGATATCTACATCTTTAACTTGGTCAAATGGATCTATAGATTTTACGCCATTTGAGAAAACTTCATGGAATACGAAGCTGATACGCGCACCACCAGACAATTCAAATGAAGACAGATCTTGCGAATTTCCATCAATTATTGTACGAAATTCGGTACAGAATTCAGTTATAATGTTTAAAACAATGTTGCCTTGATTGTTTGAATGTTCATCTAATGGATCACCAAGACTGGTTAATTCTTGAAGATACTTTGCTAAGGCTGCTTGTATTTTTGCCTTGATTTCCGGAAGGGTGTTTCTTATGTGATGCATTAGAATCTAATAGAAAATAAATTATAATGCGAATATATATTAATTTATGTACATACAAAATATGTATATAAAAATATGCGTAATAATTTACCATATTAAGTTTTCGTGCTAAGAATGGAGTACCACAATATTGTGCCTTGCTCTTGTAAGAAGGATGATTCTCAAAGAATTGACGTTCAGCTTCTAAAGCTGAGGAAATTGCTTTCCTACTGTCAATATCCTTTTGACCACGATTCACCACGGGAACGTATCCTGTATAAAATAAAAAAAAATGAATACTTTTCAATATAGTAAATATTATCAGTCCATAAATCTAGCTAAAAAGACATACCAAGTCGTAAGGGAATAACGCGCCCTGCTAAAATATCTACAACATCTGTTCCTTGATCCCTATATAAAGTAATAATAATTCTAATTTATGCAATAAGAAAGACAGATTGTGAAGTAATATATAAAGTACATACATAAGATCGATTTTCGTAAGAACACCGATTGTACGAGATCCTGTAATCAATGAAATAAATCAAATTAATAGTTAAACAATCACAAAGATCATATGAAGGGAGTAGTATCAAACCTTCGGGATCAACTTCTCGTGCTAATTTTAGACCATCCGAATTTGCCAAATCAGTATTGGCGGCAGTGACCGCAAGAATAATAGCATTTGGTTTAGTAATATATTTCAGTATCATTTCACGAATTTGTTTTTCTATGTCTTTTGGTTGATCACCAACGGGAACCTAACAAATGATGATGTTTATCAATAATTAAAAATTTACTTCATTATTTATGTAATAGAATTAATATAATGATAGTTACTTTGGTCAGACCAGGCAAATCGACAAGTGTCAAAGTCAAGACATGTGGCGAAAATATTCTCAGATTGATGGGTTGTGGGGAAATACCTAATAGAATATAAGTCAATTTAAAAGTTTTAAAAGTGTAAAACTTGTATAAAATACATAAAAACGAGAAAAAGTATTAACCAGCATTTTTTCCAGTTTTTTCCTCAGTTTCTTTGACAATTTCATCCCGGATCTTATTAAAGTCATAAAGTTTAACACCAGGAATGTGCAAGAATTCTCCCCATTCCTCTGCTTCTTTATTTTCTTTTTCATTGGATTCTTTTTTACTTCGAGGTTTTTTTTCTGTTTCGCCGTTAGGTAAATCTTCTTCGGTACCATTAGGTGTATTTTGTGGTCGATTAATGAGTTGCAAGACCTGGAATTGTTGATTTCAGAAAATTAAAATTCATTTACATATGAAAAGAATAGATCAAAATTTTTTTTATTTATTGATTCGTGAATAATAGATTGAGCGACGATTTTGAATGTCATTCAGCAACAGATGCCGCATTCTATTATCCTGGCTAAAAAATGCTTACCAAAGGTCTTCGAGTTACTATACCGGTGCCTCTAGGTAAAAAGTCACGACCTACTATATTTTCCAACACTGAACTTTTCCCACTTGACTGTGAGCCAATAACTACTATCTGAGGAAGGTCTACCGGATTCTGTACACCGACCGTAGCAAAGGCATCCTGAAGCTTATTAACTGTTATTATTCAAACAAAACATATATGAATTGGCTCATTTCTATTAAATTAAACATTACGAAATTAAGGGTATACCTGTTTTAATCAGAGTAGCATCCATGTGCTGCAAATACTTAAATATGAAAAGGGGTGACTTTGACTATTCAAATTCTGGATATAATTTGCAACAAGACAGAAAGACACAGGTAATAAAAAAGTGGAATTCGGCTTTTAGTGCAGCAAAAAGCTTGGCCTTCGAAGTGAGGTAGCATTCTTTTACTTATCGTTATCTGTGGCACGTGAAAATCGCTGATCGAGCTAGATAGTCTATTGATGCTAACCAGATATAAATATTCTATATACGTAGATTTTATTTATATCAAATACGTGAAAGCTAAACACGTAATGTCGAATTAAAAATATCCCTCATTATACTATGGTGACGGATGTCCGAGTCTATTGCATTGAAAACTATAATGCCTTTTCCTGATCCAAGAAACAAACTAAAATATTCGGATACTGAAGACGAGGTGCCATTGATGGATCACGACGATTGGGTCGAGGTCAGTATTACTTTGATATTTGTTTGAATTCTTGACTTGTTTTCGAGAGTCTTAGGCTTTTTAATAAAAACTTGTTCTTTAAAATTTCTTTTATAAAATTGATCCATACAAAAAGAAAGGCCTTTATTAAAAATATTTTTTTCATTATAAGGAAACTTCCTCGACAGCACGCCGTCGGCGACCTCTGGCTAACTCAAAACCTTCAAATAGTTCACGTAATATTTCTAATAATCAACTACATAAATCTCGGATTATACCTTTTCACGCGTCGAACAAAATCAAAGATAAATATCCTCCGAATGTAGTCAGAAATCAAAAATATAATGTGTTCACATTTTTCCCGTTGGTTTTATACCAGCAGGTATTAATCAATTATCTACATTGGTTTTTTGAAAACGGGAGATCGAATTAATTATATTAATTTGTATTTTTTTTTTAGTTCCACATTTTCATCAACCTGTATTTTCTTCTGGTAGCCTTATCGCAATTTATTCCACCGCTAAAAATCGGTATTTTTTTTTGCATTTTTAATGAATTTATTTTCATTTCTTTTTGACTAATGATTCTTAATATAGGATACATTGTGACCTATTTTGGACCTTTGTGTTTTGTTATTGCCGTTACAATTAGCAAAGAAGCTTATGATGATTGGAAAAGATATAAACGCGACAAAGAAAATAATTCCCAGAAATATCAAATTTTAACCAAGAATGGAATCGAGTTAGTCCCAAGTTCGCGCATAAGAGTTGGTGATATGGTTATTATACATAAAGATCAAAGAGTATGTAAGACTTGACGAGAAAGGGTGAGAGAAATTAGGATAGACGGAATTGGCGTACCGTTTTAGTCTTAATACATTAATGTTTTTTGTGCAGATACCTGCAGATTTAGTACTATTGCGAACCACTGAAGCAAGTGGCGCATGTTTTATTCGGACTGATCAACTGGATGGAGAAACAGATTGGAAAATGAGGTAAATCAGAAATCACATTATTATATCAGTTCTAATTTGCTATTAGATATCAATGGATCCTTAATGCTATGTTGAAATGGTTTAATCCTATCGTTATTATTTCTTTTAGACTCGCTGTACCATATTGTCAAAAATTAGCATCTGATGAAAGACTAGCACAAATTGACGCAGACATATACGGTATTTTTAGCTTATGATCATTCATCGTTTTGAATTTAAGCTGATGGTTATTAATTCATTTTACATTAATAGCTGATTCGCCTCAAAAAGATATTCACAATTTCATTGGAAATTTTTCAAATCATCCTATTGAATCCATCGTAAGAAAAATTTTGAATAAAATTATATATTGAATGAATCCATTATTTTAATGAGTTTATGAATAAAACTAGACACCAGTAGTCGAAGCTTTAAATGTTGAAAATACTCTTTGGATGAATACTGTTCTTGCTTCTGGGACTGCAATTGGATTCGTAATTTACACTGGTCAAGATACGCGAGCAGTGATGAACACTAGTCATCCAGAAACAAAAATTGGATTACTGGATCATGAAATTAATAGGCTATCAAAAGTACAGTCTTTTCATATAATAAATTTATTAATATTATTATTGTTCTATTAAATTCAAGAATTCGATTATAGATCCTGTTTGTTGTTACATTATTGCTTTCCCTTACCTTGATCGCTTTGAATGGTTTCCGAGGCCTATGGTATATCTACCTATTTCGATTTCTGATTCTCTTTTCATCGATTATCCCAATTGGGTGGGTATGCATCTTTTCATATTTTAATATATCAAATTATCATTTCTATGTGTTAAAAGCGTCGTTGTCTAATAAATATGTAAAATTGTTCAGCTTGCGCGTAAACTTGGACATGGGTAAAACAGTGTGTGGGTATCAGATAATGAATGATAAAGAGATACCCAATACTATTGTTCGAACAAGCACAATTCCTGAAGAGCTTGGACGTGTTGAATATTTATTATCAGACAAAACTGGAACTTTGACCAAAAATGGTAAATAGTTCTTTAAAAGTGCATCATTTTTATTTTGTCTGGTTTAATAGAATATCGCTCATTCCTTGATTTTAATTTAATAAGATATGGAGCTCAAAAAGCTACATATGGGTACAATGTCATATGGTGTCGATACAATGGATGAGATTTCTTCTCATCTTGACATGGCTTTTGCACCTCGTCAAGGTATGTGTTTGGAAACAAGTTTTTATAATTAATTTGGGCCGCAATAATTGACATTTTCGTTATAGAACACACACATACGCGGAATTCATCACGCAATGCAATCTCCGTAACTGCTGCTAATTGGGGTGGGAAGGGTAGGAGAGATATTACTTCGAGAATACGGGATATTGTGCTAGCACTCGCGTTATGTCACAATGTAAGTTTTTGATCATCCCATGTAAAGATTTTATTGGGCGCATATTTGATATTTAATTAATTTTCTTAGGTCACTCCAGTAAAGGAAGATGGGCAAGTCACATATCAAGCTTCTTCTCCTGATGAGGTGGCAATTGTTCGATGGACAGAGCGCGTGGGATTGACTTTGGTATTCCGAGATGTGAATGCAATACATCTTCGAACATCCCACGGTGAAATTCTTGAATTCTCGATTCTCCAAATCTTTCCTTTCACAAGTGAGACTAAACGAATGGGAATCGTCGTTAGGGAGAAAAGCACTGGTGAGATAATGTTTTACGAAAAGGGTGCCGATGTGGTCATGACCAAAATTGTACAGTATAATGATTGGCTTGATGAAGAATGTGGCAATATGGCAAGAGAAGGATTAAGAACATTGGTTGTTGCACGAAAACGTTTATCCGAAGAAGTTTATCATGACTTCGAACAAAGGTAAATACGTTAGGTTAAAAGACTATTCTATATGGGATCTTCTTTTGTATAGTTGTTTATTATATGTATATGTATATCTTTAGATATCACGAAGCAAAAACCAGTATGAATGATCGAAAAGCCCAAGAACATTCTGTTGTCTCTTCGATACTAGAACGTGATCTTGAACTTTTGGGTGTTACCGGAGTTGAAGATAAATTACAAGATGGCGTGAAAACGACGTTAGAATTTTTGAAAAATGCCGGATTAAAAATTTGGATGTTGACCGGTATGCATATGAATAATTCATTGGGCTATTATTGAGACATAATTAATGTATATTTTTTTGTTATTTAGGGGATAAGATCGAAACCGCGACATGTATTGCTATTTCTTCAAAATTAGTTGACAAAAATCAATTTATTCATACAATTTCAAAAGGTATGCTTAATCAACGGTTTATTTATTTAAATTTGTTATTTTTAGATATGTTAATGTTATTCGTTGTCATTATTCATAGTAAGCAGTATTGATCTTGCAATGGATGAAATTGATGCCTTGCATAGTAAACCGGACTGTAGTTTAGTCATTGATGGAGAATCTCTTCAAGTAAGTAAAGCTGATATTTAAATGCATGAATACTTTTATTGTAAATGAATTATAATTTTTTTTATAATCCTAAATAAATTAGGTGTATTTAGATCATTACAGACATGAATTTATTGATCTCGCAGTTCGATTGCCAGTAGTGGTAGCTTGTCGATGCACACCCACACAAAAGGTATTGTGTATCATTAGGGGAAATCTTATCATGAAAGATTGGATAAAAGCTAAATCTGTTTTATTAATTATTCGAAAAAGGCCGAGATTACGCGACTCATCAAAAATTTCACGAAAAAGCGTGTTTGTTGTATAGGAGATGGTGGTAATGATGTTAGCATGATTCAAGCCGCTGATGTTGGTGAGTTATAACAAAAATCTATTTATCTTATGCTATTTTCAAAGAAGAATTTTTAAGGGATGATACTGTTTTTTAATGATCCACGTTAGGTGTGGGCATTGTTGGAAAAGAAGGCAAGCAAGCGTCCCTTGCTGCGGATTTTTCTATTACCCAATTTAGCCATCTAACCAAATTATTATGTGAGTATTATATTTGTTTTATTATTATTCTCGTCACTTTATTTTTTTGTATGGACTCTCATAATTTATAATTTCAAAGTATGGCATGGCAGAAACAGCTATAAAAGATCCGCGAAACTCGCACAGTTTGTGATTCATCGTGGTCTAATAATATCTGTTATACAAGCAGTATTTTCAGCCATATTTTATTTCGCGCCGATTGCTCTTTACCAGGCATGTGATTGTCTGATGTCTGATAGTTTTCATTTTTATATATTAATACTGATATTGTTGTATTTTTAGGGATGGCTTATAGTTGGATATTCTACAATATACACGATGGCACCGGTATTTTCTTTGGTACTGGATCAAGATGTGAATCACAGAATAGCTATGGAATTTCCCGAACTTTACAAGGAATTAACAAAGGTTATCATTTTTTTTCTTCCTTTAAATTCTAAATACACTTGCTAATATCATGTAAAAATTTATTTTAGGGACGGTCATTATCCTACAGAACCTTTTTTCAATGGGTCATGATTAGTGTATATCAAGGTAATATAAATCTAATTTGATGAATAATAAATACACTTAGTTATCATTATCTTCAGTTTTATGAATAATTTTCTCTTATTTTAAATAGGTGGCGCTATTATGATTATGTCAATCGTGTTATTTGAGGATCAATTTGTCCATATAGTTTCTATTTCATTCACGTCTTTAATTATCAATGAATTACTTATGGTCGCTTTGGAAATTAATACATGGTATTTATTTTATTTATAACTCGTTACATTTTTGTTCTTATCTTAAATGCACATGTTCTATTAAGGCATCCATATATGATAATATCCGAGATTCTGACTCTGGCAATCTATTGCGTTTCGATGATTTTTCTACCGACTTATTTTGGTATGTTTAACTCTGTAAATCTGTAATTTTTTGATCAATTCAGCCAATTTATTAATCAATCAATCTCTATATAAAATTGATTAGATTTATCTTTTATTCTGACGCCAACTTTTATATGGAAGGTCGCAGTGATAACAGCCATAAGCAGCATGCCACTCTACCTTGTAAAGTGTATCAAACGAAGATACGCTCCGCCTATTTATACAAAATTAAAATAATATATCTTTGTGTTTTAATATGACTTGTATTTCTATAATTGTTTTTTTTTTCGATCATTATTATTATTATTATTAACTATGAAAACAAAACTTGATAGTTCCTTTAAAATCAAATATAATTGCTATAATAATAAAAGATAGACTGAGCGTGTATATGCCGCACTAATTATCATCATCAACATCATCATTCCAATAGAATATTGACTGCCATTATGATACAAGCCAATGCAACGTAAGGACTAAGACGTTCTCCTATTACAATAAACTTTGTTATTAGAGGGAAATTCAAAATAAAACCTGATCCATAATAAATAACGTACCTATCCTTGCCGCTTTCCAGAATAAACCAAGAATGCTAAATTAATCAACAAGCGAATGAAGGCAAATCAGTTAATTTCAATTGGGTATCGGATGAAAAGAAAACACCAATTTTTATCCATTCAAGTTACCCAGTTTTATTCTTGTCAAGTAAAGTTGGAGCTTGCGCTTTCACGTATGTACATGTGCAAATGACTAGCAGAATTACAAGTAATAAACTCTGGAAATTGAATAATGCAGACTGGAAAGGAAAGAACGTGTTAATAATATTGGGTTTCGAGATTTTTTGGGAAACATGTGCATAGACGCGCGCTTTATATAGCTTGCTCACCATTTGTTATTATTATGATTATTGTGTAATAGTTGGATGGAAGTTTTTATTACGGTTATTCTAATTTAAACTTTGCCTAATCCAAGCGATTTTCATATACACGTGCGCGATTAGTTCTTTACATGGGAAATCCAAAAATATTTTAACCAGATAAATGCATTTTTTGATGTGTGCTTATTCATGTTAATTAACCGGTGGTTTTTAAACATTCAACCAAAAACGTTACAATTAAATGAATTGATGATACATGTAGAAACGTTCATTAATTTAATTAAAAAAAAAGATGTACACCGTTCAAAACGCGGAAGAAAAAATCAAACACTCTAAAAAAGTTGATTTAACTTCCAATTGTTCAAGCCGGTATTAAAAACTAGTCGTTTTCATTTCTCTTTCATGCCAATGACTCAAGCCTAACCTATGAAATCTTTGAATAAAAAGAGAGAAGATACTGTCTTTTTTCAAAAAAAAAGGTTAGGGATCTAAGGGGCATGATAAATGGCGGTGAAAAAAATCTTTGGTTGACTGATCCGATGTAATTTATAATTCAAAATTTTTTCTGCCACACGTGACATGGAACCTAGTTACTAGTAGAATGATTTACACGAGTAATTAAGTAAATGACTGACCATCACCCAATTTAGCTAAATCGATCAAAAAAATGCACACTTTACTGGACGTAAAAAAATTCCCCTGATACACCAACACCACAACTAAAACAACTCTTCAAGTTCTATTAGGATTAATAATAACCATATTTTTTTATATATTACTCGTTATATTTTTTTGTGAAGCTCACCTCAATTTTGTAATATTTATAAAACTGAACTGATTTCCTGTATAATTTCTGCTGCTGTTCTATCTCTATCTCTATTCAGGCATATCAAACAGTTGAGAGCACCTCGTCTTTTATTAACCTTTCACCTTCTTTTCACAAAAAACTGTTGATTCATAACTAAAATTTTAAGCGTAAATCAAACTCCCTTTCCCACCTGCATCGAATCACTGGCGTTTACTCTCTTCCCAGCAGTAACACCTCTTTATCTGTCGAGGTCATTCCACTTATCCGCTAGTTGAATTTACACTTTCTCTCCCGAAGAAGAGTCTCCTCTTGAAAGTCTAAACTAATAAAGTTAATAACATTTTGTTGGCTGATTCCAACAAGAACACTTTGAACTCGTTAGTCATGTCTTCTGCTAATGTGAGACAACAAACAAAGGGACGAAGGCAGCAAGAGTTCAATTATCAGAACTCAAACTCAAAGTATGTTCTGTTATGTAGTTGCGTCATTTTCGTATGTACTGATCCAGTCTTTATCAAATCAATATCTATCTATATAAAAATGTGATACGTGGGAAATTAATCTTCTTTCAATAATCATTATCACCATTTGCCCCTCGCGTTCCTTCTTAAATCTCAGTCATTCAAATCGGAACGCCAAAAATAAATGGAATAATAACGCTCAACATCCCAATAATATGCCGATTCGTAATCAATCAATTCCTCCAATACCACCATTATCACAAGCCATAAATAATCCATCCTCCAACACAAACCATCTTAACAACGGGACCGTCTCAATACCACCACCTAACACAAATAATTCATATAAATCCGTTGGGAATACAATACATAATGAGATAGCAGAAAAACATATGCATGATCGAATGTTGTGTTTATTGGCAAATTTTGTGGTAATTCTCCGAGTTTGTAAATCCATAGATCGTATTCTTTATAAGACTGACGGTTGATTCCTTTCCTTGATCCTAGGGCATGAATGTACAAGTCACAATCAAGGATGGTACAAAATATGAAGGTCTTTTTCATGCAGCATCCACCGAAGAGCTTGGTGTTGTGCTGAAACTTGCGCGTAAAATCTTAACAAAGGCAGAAGAAAAAGCGGGGACGCCTAATAAAGTAATACCCACCTTTATTATAATGGCAAAAGATTGTATGGCAATTGAAGCAACAGGCGTGGACTTTTCATCTTCAGAAAAAAATCTTACATCTGAACGTGACAGTAAGTTTACGTTCTTTTGCTCGATTGGTGACTACAAACGTAAAATTTTTCTCAAAGGTTTGTACACGTAAAATTCAAAACAGGTTTTAGGACAGACACGGATATCAGTGGTGGTCGTACCGAACCTCGAGAACGCGAATTACGCAAATGGAATCCAGATGAACATGGTGGCGGGGAAGCCTTGGGTGGATTAGAATATCCTTGACTATCATTACTATATAAATTTGTTCCTCTCTTAAATTAAAAAAAATATATCCTTAACTTTTTCTTACGGATGAAGCGGGTCAAGATAATGGCGGTGCAGAGGCTTGGGATCAGTTTGCAGTGAATGAACAATTATTTGGAATAAAAACGGATTTTAACGAAGAATTTTATACCACAAAGTTGGATCGGACAAAAGCCGATTTCAAAGAAAGGGAAAGACAAGCTATTCAAATTGCAAATGAGATTACAAGGGTGAGTTCTACCTGCACACACATGCATGCGTGTATATATCTGCGTGTCATGATATATACTATGTGATATTATATAAGTGCTAAGTTAATACGCTTTCGTTTTTAGACAACCACTAATAATGTACATATGCTTGAAGAACGTGGTATCCTGGTCGAAGAAAGTCACATGGACGAAGAGGACAAGTAATTTACACTCTTTTCTATCATCCGTGTTGACCATATTAATAATATTAATAATTTGCGCGATTTCTTCAATTATACGTTAGATATGGTGCGGTTGTTAGGAATCGAGATCCTAGCAAGTACATGCCACCTGCTCTTCGTAAAATACAAGAACAACAAAATGCCGCATCTGTTAAAAAACCAGAACTACCGAAAGAACCGGCCAAAGAGGTCAAACCAGTAGTAAAACCTATACCGGAGACGCCAACAGTTCCCGTACAACAACCTATCAATGACAAGACTAACCCCACTAATGTCAATAGTAACAGTAATAATAGTTTACCAAAAATCCCACCTTTTAATCTCGCCCAATATCGTGTTTCTCCAGAAGATGCAAATCTATTGTATAATCAAAGGGTAATTTATATTATAACTTCTTGTTGCTTTCCCGTTTAGTCGATTTATCCATAGGAAATCAATATTGAATTAAAATCTTTGGCGTTTCAGAAACCTCTCATTGATGCACGTGGTAAACCTATTGAAGGCAGGTGTTTTAATCAATTTTCACGGGAATCGTTTGGTTTTCGAATGTTTTCACCTAAAATTTTACACTTAATAAATAGCACAAATTGTGTCTAACTTCAGAAAGTTTGCCAGCGATGAGAAAGAGCGTTTACAACAAAGGAAGCAAGCAATATTTAAAAAAGAGATGGACGGAAAAGTGGCTGAATTAGCTAAATGGGGTAAAAACTTTAAGGTAAATTTATGATATCATCATCATCATCATTATTATTCATCGCGTGACATTTCTCTCAAACTTAATGCTAATGAAATAATCACATTAATATTTAACAGTTGAATTCTCCCTTGCCTACCGATCTAATTCCAATATTGACGAAAGACGAAAGTAAGCGTCAACAATTAGTCGCTAAATCTGTTGCATTATCAACAGTAGACAAAGATAAGAATAAGGATAAAGAACAACAAGAGCCTAGAGATAGCCTTAAAGAAGAAAACGATAAAGAACGAACAAAAACAAATGATAAAGAAAAAGAAAAACCTAAAGAGAAAACGGCTTCTTCCCCTGCGCCTGAATCGAAAGCAGAGTTGAAAA